AAATACAGTAATGTGCAACTGAGTTTGATAATAAAGTTAAGAGAGTAAGAATAAGAGTAAATCAGTTTTTATTACCTTTATGTATGCATTTAAATTGAATTTGATGTTTTCAGAATTTCGTGCTGTCACCTGATTGACAAGGAAATGCATTTTCTCTTGAGATGACATTGACGCAGTTTCTTCCAACCATCGAGTTAAACCTCCAGGTAATTTGCGTCCAACTTCATTCCATTCCGGTCTTGAATATACAAAAAATGTATAAAGCATAGGATCGTTTATTAGATAGGCGACGAATTTTTAAAAAAATTATGATGAAAATACTAAATAACGAATAGGTTATGTGCCTAACACTATAGTGGATTTGTAGATTCATTCTAGAACTAATAACACTTGTAAAGACTACGTCAAAAATGATTTATCAATACAGTGGAACCAATTTAATTCTTAGGGTTGCAAATTATTTCTGTCAGGAGTGAGTTCAAGAATCGATTGCCAAATGAAAATCTGTGCTATGTTTTATTTTTTTGTCAAACAAACATTTCCCAAACATTAATTGTTTTCCTTTGATTGAAATAAGTGATTTAACATTTTGCTAGCGTTCGTGTGTAAACAATATAGCTTGATTATACTATCAGAAGCTCTTAGCATCGACTCAGGTACGTTGGATACGATAATCCTCTATCTTATTCCTAGTCTCTGCTAATCCAAAAGACAGATCCTCTGACGTTTTATCGTGAGACGTCGAAAATGATTAGTCCAGTAAATCAGGAAACGGGTGAAAATATATTAAAGATGTCTTTTACAGTAGTGAAAAAACAAATAATGACCAATTAAGAAAAAGCATAATAGGTTGTAAAAAATTTAAAAGATGCCTCCTTGTGAAGAGTTTCGGTGCTCAAAAGAGAAATTAAGATATGTGAAAAGAAAAGAATAAGGTAGCAAGAAAGTAAGAGGCGTTTAATAGTATGACGGTGTTTAAGTATCCTTAACAATGTGGAATGGTTTACTGGGATTTATTGTCGTTTTTCAATGATAATTTCTATCTGATAAGTTTCAATTTAATATTTTGAATAAGATGATATTTGTGGTCGTAAATCAATAAATCTTGAAAAGCTTTTAGTAGAACATGAAATTAGTTTTATACTTTCTGTTTGTTTTTCAATATGATAAAAAATATGGGTCCAAAATCAAGTATTTTCTTAAATAATAGAGGGCTAGTGGGGAGTTTGCTATCATGTTATGATTAACAGACATAAAGCACTAAAGTGACTGATGTGATCCAATCTCTAAGTTGTTCACTTAGCGAATCCCAGTGAATAAATATTAGAATACAGAATTTCTAAACAATCAAGCAAATATATTAGAGAATTAAATCTGTTATTCATACTATAAAATGAAATGATTATTAGGAGAAAGTTATTGCGTAATCCTTGCTGAAAATGAATGTTGCCAAATAACCATTGAAACTTTCATTGTTCCAGTGGTATCAGTTTTTACATAAATATACATTTTCTAAGCTTCTTATTATACTCTTAACAGTTAATTTTCCAAAAGAACTTACATTTCATGGTTTACTAAAGTGAGGATTGTGAGCAGCCGTTTACTCTCGATTATACTACAGCTCTAAAACATCATCTGTAGGGGTCAAGATTTTGATCATAAATGAATCCAAAGCATTGCATGGGGATTTTCGGACCACCAAGTAAGCACTGTTGAGGTCGGGCTTAGGTTACTGGACAAACATACCAACTGATTAACGAGGCTATGAATTTTCACTAACTGTAATATCTAGGACATGTGTCATGTAAAGTAAACTATCACTTACCTTAATATACAATGTTATTTGTAGTAGACGTAGTTTTAAAGAAAGCTAATAAGTGAAAAAAGCAAGACATTGGATCATTTAAGAAGTCATTAGTTGTTGAAGTGATTTGTTTTGGTAGATGAGCGCTCCTGGTTGGGGTCTATACAAAAACTTCGATCTACAGACTGGGATGTTGGACAACTTATCTCAGACGCATTCACTCTTTATATTCCTCTGAATCTTGAATTCTATTTATTCCGTTTACTACAATTATAAAAGTAATATCTACTTTTCTACACTATCAGTGCTACCTACTTTACTAACATGTATATTTTTCTAATTTCACTTCGTTGAGTTGATGTGGTACGGTAACTTAGAATAAAGAATATTTGTGTCCGGCTCTAGGATGTTGATGAATGATTGAATAACTTACAGTCATTTAAATATAGCTCACATTTATAAATTTTAATGATTGTTAAAATAACAGTTTCGAAACTAATAAATATACAATCCACTGTTTTATTGACCAGAAGTTGTTCATAATGTATATGAAAACCGTTAAATGAATGTTACAAAAATGAAGCAACTAGGTGACTTAATTTGTCTTGGTTTTTATCATGAAGTGATATTAATTAGAGAATCATTGAAGACCAGGGAATACTATACATCCGTACATTCTCGTTTAGAACTTATTGATGGCTCTCATTTCAATGAGACAGAATCGAAGTACTTCTAATCCCATTTATTCAAAATCCAGTCCTTCACATGTTGAACTTAAGTGATAATCTCAAATTAAGATATAGGTGAATTGATGATTGTGGTGAAATTGGTTTGCCTGTAGGGTTATGTTTGATTACGATATAGTTTTCGTCATTTATCGACTTCCTGGAGCCACAGATAGTTGTTTCATCCTCATGTTTTAAATTCAACGAAACTGAACAATAATTGGTGAATATAGTTAAAAACAAATATCAATCAGTAGTCATGTATTACAACGCTTATTTATTTGTTTTTTCGTATACTGTCAACTAAATTATTAAGTAAGCTAATAATGACTAAATATTTAATTATTTACCTCGGTGTTGATACTCTTTGTAACTGTTGAACTGTTATTTCTGATTGATCACGTTGTTTCATAACTTCATTTAATTGATTTTTTAGAAGTCTGTGAAAGAACGAAATTTGTTTATCGATTACGTAATTTAGATATTAAAATTAGAAGTAATGTTTTCACAAGTGAATAAATGACTGATAGCAAATTATTCAGTATGACAGTTCATTAATTATTTTATGTTATGTATGAAAAAGAATCAAATGGTAGGTTATCAAAGATATGTTATTCTGTCCTCTTGTGATTACTGTTTGAATGAAATTTTGGAAATCTTCAGGTGACATGAATGATAAATATTAGATGAAATCTAATGCATAACAGTTATTCGAATATTATAATTCACTACTTAGAAGTGATTAGTTACGTAAAATCATTGTAGTGATTTGACTTGTACATATCATATTTTTAATTATTCTCCGAGTATTGTCTTAGAAGAGGATGAGCTTTAAGAACTAATAAATGTATTATATTCATTTCACCTTTAAACAAGAAGATTTCTGTGATATATTGTATTAGAAACTTATTTAAATGTCGTTAGAAGCATTTTTATAATTATAGTAGTCCAATTTATTACGCTGTAAATACTGCTGTCCGGCTTAATCAACCGACGAGCTATCTGAGATTGTTGCTTTCTTATACATGATGCTATGCTTTTTTAATCGGTAACAAATACGCGAGATTTTTGAACAAGTATTATATGACACAATTAAAACATAAAAGTTTATATGATCATTAATTTTTTTAATTGAAGCTTATAGTAACAATTATACTAGTTGCTGACTTATTTTACCATCTGACTTAATTTAAGATAAACTGTTAATTAGTTTGTAGATAACATTCTACTGAGATTAGTAAACACAACTTAAATAAATTTGTAACCTGAGAAGTTTGTTTTTGACAATGTTTCCCGTTAAAAGTAGTTTGAGGAGTGAAATATTTGTCTTACTATTGAAAAGTGAAAAAGTAGGTTGTTATGAGCTCTCTATTTCTAGACAACTGCAAACGCTAAAAACAGCATTCAAAACAGTCACTATAATTCATATACTGATATCACATTTTGAATAACACCTGAAAACCTAAGAGCAATTGTTTCTTATTAGACTTAGACGTAGAATGCAATTCATTGGAATGCTTCTTAATGAGCTTATTGATAATAATGAATCTCTTTACAAATTGTGTCCGAGTAATACTGAAGAATAAATTATTGGTTGAATTAATTTATTTTACCAAGTTACTGTTCACAATCACCTTTAAAAAGACCAAGTCAAAATTCAAAGACACTAAGTGACTAATGTATTTTATGATGAATTTAATGATTTTGGTTATAACGGGGTTGATATATAAATCCTGCTTTAAAAGTTATGAACTCACATTTTTTTAATAGACATTAGTGGGAAGGAGGCCTAATTTCAAAGTTTTTTTTAATAAAACCAACCAAAACATCAGCAGATGGGTAACAGGATCTTAGACGTTGTTTTTAGGAAGGTATATAATTTAAAGAACGTATCAAATGATTTTTCATAACCTTTTACCAGAATCTTGGAACAGTTGAGACAAGTACAATCAATAAAGATGAGCGATGACCGTATAATACAACAAGTGAAGCAAGTTCGATAGTGTTAGCTTTTATAGACATCACAATAGTATAAATAGAACGTTGACTCCTGAACTTGATTCAACTAGTTTAATAAAATAACCTTGATTCTAAACGACAAGGAGTAATTAGATAAAATAAGAAACTCAAGTTCTTTTCTCTGTCCATATTCTTCAGATCACTAAATTGAATCTTCTGACGTGTGTTAAAAAGCATGCAACACAGTTTATTTAGAGGTGCCCGTCTATGGACACCAGCCTTCAAACCTTTCTTAAATAAAATTATTCTGATAACAGGACTGGTGAGTTAAGAAAAAAACGTCAGCTATACAAAATTACAAAGCACTTACTCCCACCCTTGGATAATCATGAATAAAAACAAACTTGAATTAACGTTAGTAATATACATACTCCAAAGATTCATTTAATTCCTCATTTTCTTTAATCTTCATGTCATAATCGTTTTTTATTTTATTATTTTCTTCCCATAAGGCATCATACCGACTTTTAGGCATAACATTCACGTATTCAGCTTTCAGTCGAACCACTTCAAATTCAGAAGCTGACTGAGCTTTTCTTGCTTGCCTAGAATAGGAAGTGAAAAATATCTAACTATGAACTATACACTTTTTGTGAAAATCCGTACTTTATTCATGAGTAACATAGATTTTACTTGTTTTATTGAAGGATATAAATAAATACTTTGTCACTTTTTCCCCAATTTGTTATGATATTGGATGTCTTTTGCTTGTTATATCACCTCAAAAAAGGTTTTAACCTAAAACAAATTCTTTTTCTTATAGAACTATGCAAAGTAAAAAATTGCGTCACAGTAAGCCTAGTTTGCATCACATAGTAAATAATTTTTTAGTCCTAAACTAAATATCAGTGAAGTCGAATCATAAACTAGAAATCCAACACCTTTCACTCAGAAATAGTAGGAAATTTATCATACTTCCACGGTCGTCTGTTGGTGGAATTAACGGATCTAAATACTCTAAACCAAAGAGTTTTGAGAGTTGAGTATTGTCATAATAAGGCGTGAGTGTAAACAAAGACAGTGAAAACAAGCTTTTTTGACAATATGTTTGTTTGATTTTGCGTTAGATAACTATTGGTTATGACTCTTTTTGTGATAGAACAAATTCAAATAACCTTCTTATAAATTGAATATATTTTTGAAATATCTCCAGAGAATAGCGCCTTTAAAATATTGATCGATGGAGTCATACTGTGAGTGTAGGTATGAGTTATGGTGTATTGCTGACCTGGAACACCAAACTAGCTGTTGTGAACGAGAATTCAAGTGGGTGAAATCAATTTGTTACTGAATGCAAACGTACGCAGTGGCTTAGTAAACCATGGAAATCATACATTAAATACATCATTTGCAAATGCTTTTTGAGTTGCCCTTTATATACTTCATTATTCCCTTAATTATGTTGTTAACTTGATTAGTTTCCGACTTCCCTTCCTGTTCTCTTCGATTCAGTCTTCTGCTGTCAGGCACTCCAATTCCGATTGCAGCTACTTGTTACTTATATCTGTTACCATAAGTAGCAGACACCACTTAGGTATAATAATTGTATGTTCGTTTCATTAACTCTAGAATGATGAAATAATTATCAACAAAATCGGTTCACGCATAAACCAGGCTTGTTATAGCATTCTTTATCTTTCTAAACTGCACTTAAGTATTAGATAACTATGAAGTTTACTATAAACAGTAGTTAAACGGGTTTATTTGTGACAGTCACAGTTTACTTTTTTCTGAAAATAAGTGTGACCAACATTGAGAATATCTCCTGAATTAGTTTCACATGTCACAAATAGCTCCACATCACATGTTGATGAGATTTTGTATTCATTTCGGTAAGTCGATCAAATTGTAAGACTCAAAATAACCTCAATATTAGATAAATTAGTCATCCCTAGTTCTTTCTTATTTTAAGGACAAAACGTCTCATATACAGACTGTTCGTGTACACGGATAGTTTTGTGCTTATATTGTTTAATAAAAGGTTTCCGCAAGCGTTCATCCTTAAATTCGGCAGAGCAACTGTAAAATAAGACGAAATCATTATCTGCTGCTTCTTGGTTATCACTTAGTTTGTTGTTCAACTGTCAATGCAGACATAAAATTAGTGAGCTGAGTTTTTCTGCAGAGAACGTAGAGCATAAGAAAACCTTTTGTCGGTTTCAAAATACAACACTTACCCTAGTGCGATTTTCAACAAGACTGGATCATCTTGTCGGTTAGTTTTACTTTGTAGTTGCTTAGATACCCCTTCACTTTCATCAAACTGCATTCTCATTGCATTAATTTCCGATATTAACAACCGTTTTGCATCAGCTTCATATCTAAATTTGTCGTGTTCTTCTTTAATTGACTGAGTTAATTGTTCTACCTGAACAAATAACCGTTGGAAAGTAAATATTAGCGTCAACGCATGAAAAAATTACAAATTGAAATCTTGAGTTTCTAAATTTGGCTAAGATCTGACTAGGAATTTATTTAGTCAACTGCTAGAATTGGTGGAGTAAACCTTTTTTGAGACAAAGTGTGGTGGAGTTTGTGTCACACCCTGCTCTTTACTAAATTCGAAGTGGATAAATGAGTTCCGAACATGTAAGTTCATCGTTAGAAGCCTGATAGTTAAACATATTAAGCACAGTAAATCATTATTGGAGTAATTTGTTCTTATATTGATATGGAAGCTTCTTTGCAACTTTAGTTTCATAATAGAACCTTCTTAAAGTAAAGTTTGGATCACTTAGCAAGATGGTACAGATAAACCTAATGTGATCTATTAGCTTACATGAATATAATCGGATCACTGAATAATTGTCTGTATAGGTACTTATATGCTTATAGAACTCTAAACAATTATTCATTAAGAGCCAACAACAGGTTTTCGTTGTCCAAATTTACCATACTTCGATAGCGTAGCATGATAAATTTTAAAAATGAACAGAAAAAGGAAACAATGTAGTGGAAATGAAAACCTGGAAAATTAAATATCAAAAGTTTATTTCGAAAAGAGTGAGTACCGGGATTGATTGAGCTGCAAGAGAAAATTAACTCACGAGCTTTTTGCATGGTAATTTGCTACCATAACTATGTAAGGAATTTAGCAGCGAACCCTAACGTAAACAGCTAACAGAAGCCTATTTTCGATTGTCACTTGGTTGATCAGATACAGAATCTTGCATAGACGTGTATTGACATAAGTTTTCTAACATTTTCACAGAATGATAAAATTGCCAAGACAAATCCATAAAAGTAAAAGTAAGAATCGGTCAGTAATAGTAGAAGAGTTTAGGAATAGACAGCATGATGTGTGAAGGGAGAATAAATCGATGAAATAGAAAAAGATGCGGTAAATTTATTGCTCGAAATCTGGCAGATGAAAAGAATGAGTGCATTTGTACAGTCGAACCCCAACCTGAGACATGTAATATAGAGAGCCAATCAGAAGCGAGTGCATTTCATTGGCTAAAAAAAACATGTCAACTTTCTAAGGAAAGAGGGCTATATATATATATATGAGTTAGTACTTGGGATTTAATTCGGTAGCTCTATACACTATCTTGCTCACTCGTGTGTTCTCGCCCAAGTAATCAGTTGGAAGGTTAGCGTGCAACAGACTGTGTATCAATATCAGTTATTTGGACACTGCCCAATGCAATATAATGTCAGTCAGTTTCTCCAGTCGGGCTGACTCAACTAGATGATCTGAACCTCTTAATCTAACCAAACACGTCTGTTAGCGGCTTCGTGTAATGATGCAAATATTTTGGCTTGGTTACTCCCAGCATTCTTACAAGCAACTCTTGAATCGGAAAATTTCGCTCGTTGAGGTGGGTGGTCATGTAAGAGTAATACATGTTCCAGCCACCTCAGTTAGTGAGTAAAATAATTCTCAACTTTTTAAATCATGATTGTGAATAAAATTTGATGTTGCTGAAAAAACAGCAGAAAAAAGAGAAGTATTAATGGTTGTTTTGCTTGATAATTCCGTTACCGAAAGATACTTTAAAGTAATATTAATGAAGATTTTAAAGACTAATTGAAATACATTATGTTGATTTTTATATTTTTCAGTTAAGTAAGATCACTATGGTACTGAATACAGACATTTTAAATGAACATAGCTGCACTAATTTTGAAGTATGATATCTAACTGGACATATGACTATTAAGTGAATTAATTTAGTACCATTGGTTAATTTTGTGCTCAGTTGTGTAACTGATTCGAAATCCCTTGAGCATTACTTTGTTTGGTTGCAAGCATATCTATCTCTCTGTCTGACAGTCGGTTTATCTGTCTTTTTGTCTGTTTATTTATCTATGAACACTCTGGATAGATCGAATTTATCTCAGTACACCGCAGGTTAGACTATTCTAATGTAGTCATGGACAAATTTACTACAGTACAATTGCGAGAGGTTCCAAGTCACAGTGTTAATATGAATTTTATTTAATCACAAAACGGTCTATTTACGTGTTAAACCAATTGTACTATTCCTGAAATCCGATTAGAACGACTCAGCCATATTAAACTTTGGTTGTTTATTAATACTGTAAATCCTAGCCTATTCAACCACTTAAATATGCACTCAAAAACACTTTTACTCTAATTTTTAGTTCAGTTTATTTGTCCTCAGTTATTGGGCATAAATATGACGAATATAACAACCACTTGATAAACCGGAGTAATAAGTGAAAAATGATAAAAATTGAGTCACTACATCATCTAAGTGTGAGAAATGTAGAGCAGTCGACTCGTAAGGATCAAACTGCAGCTAGAGAAGGACTGGTAATAAGTTAAACTTGGTTGCTTTAAAACTCGAAAATCGTAATGACATTTGTTGATTACTAACAACTTGTTACGTCATTGAAAACCAGCAGTTCTGTGTAGTGATTATTCGAAATGCTGTCAAAAAGTCAACAGTATCAGTTACGTCAAAACTCTTCAATCAACAAGAAAAGTTTACCTTCCCAATATATTTTACTATATATCCGTCAATCTACATACATATAAATTGAGTCATTCTGACAACAGACCTTGTTTGAAAAGGTTTTTTTTATTTGAAATGACCGTTTGTACCACTATATCACTGTTAATCATAATGTGGTACTTTCATTGTCGTACAGAGAGTAAATTCTGGAGAACATGCAGTGAATACAGTGACTAATGGTTTATATATCAAGTTCGAAGGCTTTTCTAACAGAACTACCACTACGAGAAGGATGATCCAACACTATTAGGCTACATTTACGAACTGAAAAGAAATCAGCACTTTTTAATATAGTTCAAAAGATATTTTGATCAGTTTTGGGAATCCACATAGCTAAACCCAAATTTTGCAAGCATCTAGAAACTGACCAACACAATGATATAAATTCTTACAATTATCACCACATGTGTTGATAAAAAAATCTCTTATTAACCAATAATTATAGATTAGCGTCAATTTATCTACTTAAAAAATTACAAAAACAAACGCAAATTGCACTGAAAGATCATCGAGAGTTGATAAGTTAATGAAGCTATTTTGGGCGACATGGCTTGGAATTAACCACACAAACTCAGGCGCACTCGCTAGTTATCTTTTCTTAGATCACATGTTCCCACATTACCTTATAAATTTTTTTCATCATTCAATAAATTGGTATTTTCTTCTTGTATCTTATCTTCTATGACTAAG